GCAGCCCGCCGCCGCCGCGCGCCGCCGCTTACCTGCGATCTCCTGGTAGGGGATGTCCGCCAGGCTGAATCCCTTGGCCCCGTAAGCCTGGCGGACCTCGGCGCAGCTCCGAGCCTTCACGTCCGCTCCGGCGGCCGGCAAGGGCAGCAGCAGCCCCGACAGGGGGATCAGCACAGCCGCGATCCAAGAAGGCATGGTGCCACATGCAAATCCAGCTCCGGCAAGCCCTGGGCCCGCGCGCTCTCCACCTGGCCCTCCGGCCGAAAGCCCGCCCGCGCCCGCGGCGCGCTCCTCTCCGCTGCCCGGCGTCCCCCCTTCCGCCAGCCGAGGGGACGGGCCGCGCAGCGCGCTCAGCAAACTTTTATACACCAGAGGGTGGATGGCAAGCCGGGCACGGCGGACCCGGCGAGCAGCCGCCTGGCTCCTCGGGCCCCCACGATCGAAGATGCTGGGGTCAAAACAAAGGAGAGGAGACGGGAAAGCAGCGAGGGGGGCCGGGCAGCGACCCGAGGTCCGAGCGGGAGGATCCGGGAGCGCGGCGAGCGCGGCTCGCAGGAGCGTTTGGCGAAGGTGGGAACGCGCTCCCGGCGCGCTCTCAGGAGGGCGACTGACCGGCGCGCGCGAGTGTGTGACAGTGTGAGAGCGCGGGGCTCCGGGGGTGGGGGCGGGGTGGGGGGGTGCGTGGAGGTATGTGTTGGGATATGGGGGAGACCTCAGCTTCACACAGGCTGAGGGAGCCAGTGAGAGTCCTGAGATAGGAAGAGAGAAATCCTGGAGACAGACACGGGCGGCTAAAGGGAAGGAGAAAGGAGGAGAGAGCCAGAGCGAGCGAGAAACGTGCTACACAGTGCACAGCCGAAATTCAGAGGCAGAGTCGAAGGCAAAACCTGGACTGGATCTCACTACTCCGGAGGAAAACAAGATAATAAAGGAAACGACCCTGTTTTCGCATTCTCTTCGCATCCCACTTGCTGATCTGAAATGCGTGTTAAGGAAGCAGTGTAGGAAGAAAGAGTGTTTTGAAGTCTTGGACCTCTGTTTTGTGTGCATAGTGGACAAGACGATTCCAATTGTTGCTTGCAAGATGTTGGTGACCCACCAGAACACAAACCAGGGTCAAAATTCATAGGGGAACAGCTGGGTGGTACACACCACCGCTCGCCTGGTTATCGGATTTGTTTGTGGTTGTTTGCCCAAGACGGGCAGCTTGCATGTGCGCAGCAGACCAGAAGGACTTTTTTTTTTTTTAGTTCTGGACTCAGAATTTTCCCCATTTTCATTTCCAATATCCCCAAATTATGGGTCAGACATCATTATGCTCAGGTTTCTAGTGTGTGCTGGTACAGGAAGGCTTAGGAGAAACCCCAGAACACAGAGGCAATGAGAAAGAGCGAGTGAGGGTCAGTAGGGCGCATAAAGGAAGCTATTGTGGGGGGAGGGGCGGTGTCTGCCTTCCTTCACCCCACATGCACTCACAGGCCAGCCTTATTTTCTTGTAAGTTAACAGAATTTTCTAATGAGGAATCAATTCATTTCTTCTCTTGGGCTTCCCATTCACACGGAAATGCTGTGGTGTGAATAAAATTGAAAATCCATGTTTGAATAACATCCATTGACTTTCTTTTGTTCGTGGACGCACTGAACTCTGCTGGGCAGGAGTATCTGTTGAACATGAAGCTCACACAATAAGCATATTTTGATGTAAGGGTATAGAAACCGATGGTTTAATGAAAGTCACACAAGGAACCAAAACAAATGGTTATCCCTGTGCACTTTTGCTTATTTGTTGGTCCTATATATAGATGAGGTCAACACATTATTCAGAGATTATTGCTGGATGATGTCCAGTTCCTTTGATTCACCTGGAAGCCTACACATGAAGATAGTTTTCCTCTGATGAATCTCCTAATGACCAGCATGACTTACGAGAATTAAGTCATCCTGTCTGTCATCACTTTACATTACAGGCATCTTTTTCCTTCTTTTAATAAATCATTCCTCCCCTCATCCACCAAAAAGACTCTCAAGTTTAACATCCAGCCTCATATATGAAAATCCTTTAGAAAGTGAGATTTTCTTAAGTATAGCATGACCTTTACTTCTTCAAAACTCTGGAACTAAGTCTTTTTTTTTTTTAATCACACATACAACTTTTTTTCTCTATAATTATTAGTATTTTTTATTCTTTAAGATAGTGTCCTACCCAGCAGACCTTAAATCGCTTATTTTCCTCAGAATCTCAAATCCAGATGAGAATAAAATGTACTGGTGTCTTTGGGGAGTCAAAGGAGGAGGCTGATAAGATCAGGAATTGCTGTCAACAAGTCATTACTGCTATCATATTTGACGGAAGGGCCTTCTTTAAACCCCAATTCCCCTTATCAGTAGGTATTAGCTATTCTGTACTCTAAAGTAAGGGATTAACCACACAAATATCCTATCTTAGTATCCCTTATGCTTATTCATTGTAATTTTCCCTGGCTTTAACAGTATGGAGCAGACAATGCAAATTTTGAGGTGGAAGACTGAAGGGTAAAATACACCATTATATGGTTTTAAATTTATCAGAAATGAATCAATCATTAATTACTTAATTAGCATTCAACGTGAAGGTAAAGCCCTAAACTTTTGTCTCTAGTTTCTACTCTTATAAAGTCTCTTTAGGATCTTTGGATGCACATAAGTGTCTTATTTTAGTAGGTTCCAGTCATCTATTTTGTTTTCTACTATGTCTGCATCCTTCGTTACGTTTGAGAGTATGTCTATGTCCTGCAAGATGCCCTTCAATTTGTCCCTGTTTCCTCACTGATGATCTTTAAAGCTCTGGGATTTACAGGTCAGTCTTTGTTCCATCTTGAAGTCATTTTTTGTACATGGGGTATGGTAGAGGACCTGTTTCATTCTTCACCTGGTTGAGATCTATTTCTGCAATCACCATTTGTTTAAAAAAAAAAACCAACTCTCTTTCCCCCCAATTAATGGTTTTGGTTTGGTTTGGGTTGGGGCTCTTTGTCAAAAAATAAGTTATCTGTAGGTAGGTGAATGTATTTCTTAGTTTTCTATTCTGCTCCATTTTTCTGCATACCTATCATTGAACCAGTACCAGGTTGTTTAGACTCCTGTGGCTATGTAGTAGGTTTTGAAGTCAGCCAGCGAGAGGATTCCTATTTTGTTATTGTTCTTTTAAAGAAGGTGTTTGCTTATCTTGGGTCTCTTCCTTCTCTATATAAAATTAGCAATGCATTTTTCCATTTCTTTAAATCATGGTGTGTTAGTCTGGGTAGAGTAGAGAAACAAATCCATTGACACACATATGCGTATAACAAGGAGATTTATATACAAGAGCAATTGAACATTGAGAAAACATCCCAGCCCAGTCCAGTCCAAGGTCATAAGTATGATATTAGCCCATATGTTTGACAGCAATCTATAAAGTCCTCTTCAGATTCACAAAACACATGCAATGACACCAAATGTAGAAGATCACAGGCCAGTGGGTAGAATGTCTTTGGTGGTAGAAGCATCTCAGAGCTGGCAGGGGTCTCCACATGGCCATTCCAGTTCCCAGGGCTGCATCAGGGCAGGGCAGGGCAGGGTCAAGTGGCATCTCCTCAAGGATGCCTGGCAGGAAGTCAGCCTTGTCAGTAGAGAGCATCCAAGGGAGTGAACTGAGAGAGACAATGTCTCCTGCCTCCAAGAAGGAAGAACCAGATTTCCCAGAATTCTCAGGGGAAGGTGATACCCACACAGGGGTCTTATTGGCTATCTCCAGATTGACAGGCTAGACTCCATCCCTACACTCTTAATCCTCAAATTGACACCAGATTAGGTGACTATCACACATGGCGGGATTTGGATCATAATTACATTGTTTTTATAGATTGCTTTTGGTAGTACTGACATTTTCACGACATTAAGCCTTCCTATCCACAAACATGGATTATTCTTCCATTTATATAGATTTCTTGGTTTCTTGGAATAATACTCTGTAGTTTTCTTTGTACAAGTCTTTCTTTTCTCTCATTAGGTTGATTTTTAAGTATTCTATCTTTTGTGTGGTTGTAAATGGCATTTTCTTTCTTACTTTCTTTTTCAGAGATCTCTTCATTAGGAGACAGGCATTCAATTGATTTTTCTTCATTAATCTCTTACCCTGCCAGCTGGCCTAATCTTTTGATTGCTTCCAACTCTCTTTTTTTTGGGGGGAGGGGAGGGCACTAAGTCTTTGGAGTGTTCTCTGTATGAAATCATATCATCTGAGAATATTGGGAGTTTCCTGTCTTCTTTGTCCATTTGGATTCCCTTGATTCCTTTTTTTTTTGACTACTGGCTCTGGCTATGATTTTCAGCACAGCATTTACTCTAAATAGAAGGAAAGATTGTGGAAGGGCTCGACCCTCACCTATAGTGTTTATATTCTATGTTGTAAAGGAAAAGTTAGACCATCTGAAAAAAAACCCCAAAACATCTCACCAAAAGAGTCAAGCAAATAAAAGCAAGAGAAAGTCAAGTCAGAGAAATACATAGCATTCTGGAGAAATACATTGGAAAGGCTTGAGATCATTAATATCTAGAGTAGGAGAAGAGGAAATGGAAAGAAGATGAAAATGAATTCTTAATAAAGGATTGGCATGATTTATTGCCTGGTTTGATAGAAATTACTAAAATTTCACTTTAGGATTATGAGTCTCATTGAGAAAACATGATGTATCTATTAAATGGCAGTACTGGTGTAGTTTATAGAATTCGTTTCTTATTATCCCTTCTGATTTCCACGCAAATCTCTGTTGTCATAAAATGAGTGGAACCTCAAAGAGTTTGAATTGTAGGGGGAAAGGGCTTTGTCTTGCGAGGTAACCCCTGCAATTTGCCTGCTCATGTTCCCTTCTTCCTGGCTACCCTGATCTGATTACATTTTGTGGGAATGCGGCCTAATTATGGGATGAATCACAATTGCGCTCAGGAAGTCCTGGCAATCTTTTTTTCTTTTTCCATTAAATGGTAAAACTCGATTCTGGCCAATGAAATCTAAAGATAAGGTTTCTTAGATATTTCACACACACACACACACACACCAGGATAAAAAAAGAAAGAATAGAGCATTGTCATTTTACCTTCCTCTTCTTTCTTCAGATGACATGAGTAGAGCCGGGTTGTGTCCTGTGACTGAGAAAAGGCATTGTGAAGAGGCAGTG